TAAAGGGGGTTTAAAGGGTCCTGGAAGGGGGTTAAAGGGGGCTTAAAGTGTCCTAATGGGCACCCAATGGGTCCCTATGGGTCGCTGTGGACCCAATGCCCCCCCACTGCCCCCCATTGCTCCCCAAAGGGGTCCATTCCCCCCCCATTGCCTCCCATTGCCCCCCATTGCCCCCCCATTAACCCCATTGCCCCCCATTGCCCTCACTGCCCCATAGCCCCCCCATTGACCCCCCCACTGCCCTCCCACTGCCCCATAGCCCCACCATTGACCCCCCCATTCCCCCCCACTGCCCCCCCACTGCCCCATAGCCACCCCACAGCCACCCCATTGACCCCCCCACTGCCCCCCATTAGCCACCCCACTGCCCCCCCCACTGCCCCATAGCCACCCCATTGACCCCCCCACTGCCCCATAGCCACCCCATAGCCACCCCACTGCCCCCCCATTGACCCCCACTGCCCCACAGCCCCCCCACTGCCCCCCCCACTGACCCATAGCACCCCATAGTGCCCCCATTGACCCCCACTGCCCCATAGCCACCTCACTGCCCCATAGCCCCCCCATTGATGCCCCACTGCCCCATAGCTGACCCACTGCCCCCCCACTGCCCCATAGCCACCCCACTGACCCATTGCCCCCCAGTGCCCCATAGCCACCCCATAGCCCCCCCACTGCCCCATAGCCACCCCACAGCCACCCCATTGACCCCCCCACTGCCTCCCATTGCCCCATAGCCACCCCATTGACCCCCCCATTGACCCCCCCACTGCCCCACTGACCCCCCCCCACTGCCCCATAACCACCCCATAGCCCCCCCATTGACCCCCCCACTGCCCCCCCATTTACCCCCCCCATAGCGCCCTATAGCGCCCCATAGCCACCCCATTGACCCCCCCATTGACACCCCCCAGTGCCCCATAGCCACCCCACTAACCCCCCATTGCCCCCCACTGCCCCATAGCCACCCCATAGCCCCCCATTGACCCCCCCACTGCCCCCCACTGCCCCATAGCCACCCCATAGCTGACCCACTGCCCCATAGCCACCCCACTGACCCCCCATTGCCCCCCCCACTGCCCCATAGCCACCCCATAGCCACCCCATAGCCCCCCCATTGACCCCCCCCATAGCGCCCCATAGAGCCCCATAGCGCCCCATAGCGCCCCCACTGACCCCCCCACTGCCCCATAGCCACCCCATAGCCACCCCATAGCCCCCCCATTGACCCCCCCCACTGCCCCATAGCCACCCCACTGCCCCCCCCACTGCCCCATAGCCACCCCATTGACCCCCACTGCCCCATAGCCCCCCCACTGCCCCATAGCCACCCCACAGCCACCCCATTGACCCCCCACTGCCCCCCCACTGCCCCATAGACCCCCCCACTGCCCCATAGACCCCCCACTGCCCCATAGCCATCCCATTGACCCCCCATTGACCCCTCCACTGCCCCATAGCCACCCCATAGCCCCCCCATTGACCCCCCCACTGCCCCATAGCCACCCCACAGCCACCCCATTGACCCCCCACTGCCCCATAGCCCCCCCATTGACCCCCCTACTGCCCCATAGCCACCCCACAGCCACCCCATTGACCCCCCCACTGCCCCATAGCCACCCCCTATGATGCCCCATTGATTCCCTACTGCTGCCCCATTGATTCCCCATTGACCCCCCCACTGCCCCATAGCGCCCCCATTGAGCCCCCCATAGCGCCCCATAGCCACCCCATTGACCCCTCCACTGCCCCATTGACCCCCCCACTGCCCCATAGCCCCCCCATTGACCCCCCCGTAGCGCCCCATAGCGCCCCATAGCGCCCCATAGCGCCCCATAGCGCCCCATAGCCCCCCCAGAGGCCCCACCTCGTCCTTGAGCTGGGCCAGGAAGAGGGGCAGGAGATGCTCCACGGTGTTGTCCTTGCCCAGGATGGGCGAGAGGCCCATGATGACCGAGGCGAGCGCAGACTTCACGTGCTGGTTGGCGTCCGACACCAGCTCCTGGGGGGCGGCAGTGGGGAATCAATGGGGCAGCAGTGGGGAATCAATGGGGAATCAATGGGGAATCAATGGGGAATCAATGGGGAATCAATGGGGCAGCAGTGGGGAATCAATGGGGAATCAATGGGGAATCAATGGGGAATCAATGGGGCAGCAGTGGGGCAGCAATGGGGCAGCAATGGGGCAGCAGTGGGGAATCAATGGGGAATCAATGGGGAATCAATGGGGCAGCAGTAGGGAATCAATGGGGCAGCAGTGGGGCAGCAGTGGGGAATCAATGGGGAATCAATGGGGAATCAATGGGGCAGCAGGGGGGAATCAATGGGGAATCAATGGGGCAGCAGTGGGACAGCAATGGGGCAGCAGGGGGGAATCAATGGGGAATCAATGGGGCAGCAATGGGGAATCAATGGGGCAGCAGTGGGGAATCAATGGGGAATCAATGGGGAATCAATGGGGCAGCAGTAGGGAATCAATGGGGCAGCAGTGGGGCAGCAGTGGGGAATCAATGGGGAATCAATGGGGAATCAATGGGGCAGCAGGGGGGAATCAATGGGGAATCAATGGGGCAGCAATGGGGAATCAATGGGGAATCAATGGGGAATCAATGGGGAATCAATGGGGAATCAATGGGGAATCAATGGGGAATCAATGGGGAATCAATGGGGAATCAATGGGGCAGCAGTGGGGCAGCAGTGGGGAATCAATGGGGCAGCAGTGGGGAATCAATGGGGAATCAATGGGGCAGCAATGGGGAATCAATGGGGAATCAATGGGGCAGCAGTGGGGCAGCAATGGGGTGGCAATAGGGAATCAATGGGGAATCAATGGGGAATCAATGGGGCAGCAGTGGGGTGGCAATGGGGAATCAATGGGGAATCAATGGGGCAGCAGTGGGGAATCAATGGGGAATCAATGGGGCAGCAGTGGGGAATCAATGGGGCAGCAGTGGGGAATCAATGGGGAATCAATGGGGCAGCAGTGGGGAATCAATGGGGAATCAATGGGGCAGCAATGGGGTGGCAGTGGGGAATCAATGGGGAATCAATGGGGAATCAATGGGGAATCAATGGGGCAGCAATGGGGAATCAATGGGGAATCAATGGGGAATCAATGGGGAATCAATGGGGCAGCAGTGGGGAATCAATGGGGAATCAATGGGGCAGCAATGGGGCAGCAGTGGGGTGGCAATGGGGAATCAATGGGGCAGCAGTGGGGTGGCAATGGGGAATCAATGGGGCAGCAGTGGGGAATCAATGGGGAATCAATGGGGCAGCAATGGGGCAGCAATGGGGAATCAATGGGGAATCAATGGGGCAGCAGTGGGGAATCAATGGGGCAGCAGTGGGGAATCAATGGGGAATCAATGGGGTGGCAATGGGGAATCAATGGGGCAGCAATGGGGAATCAATGGGGAATCAATGGGGCAGCAGTGGGGAATCAATGGGGCAGCAATGGGGAATCAATGGGGAATCAATGGGGAATCAATGGGGCAGCAGTGGGGAATCAATGGGGAATCAATGGGGCGGCAGTGGGGCAGCAGGGGGGAATCAATGGGGAATCAATGGGGAATCAATGGGGCAGCAGTGGGGAATCAATGGGGAATCAATGGGGCAGCAGTGGGGTGGCAATGGGGAATCAATGGGGCAGCAGTAGGGAATCAATGGGGAATCAATGGGGCAGCAATGGGGTGGCAGTGGGGAATCAATGGGGAATCAATGGGGAATCAATGGGGCAGCAGTGGGGCAGCAGTGGGGAATCAATGGGGTGGCAATGGGGAATCAATGGGGAATCAATGGGGAATCAATGGGGTGGCAGTGGGGAATCAATGGGGTGGCAATGGGGCAGCAATGGGGAATCAATGGGGCAGCAATGGGGAATCAATAAGGAATCAATGGGGCAGCAGTGGGGCAGCAGTGGGGAATCAATGGGGCAGCAGTGGGGCAGCAGTGGGGAATCAATGGGGAATCAATGGGGCAGCAATGGGGTGGCAATGGGGAATCAATGGGGAATCAATGGGGAATCAATGGGGAATCAATGGGGCAGCAGTGGGGCAGCAATGGGGTGGCAATAGGGAATCAATGGGGAATCAATGGGGCAGCAATGGGGTGGCAGTGGGGAATCAATGGGGAATCAATGGGGAATCAATGGGGAATCAATGGGGAATCAATGGGGCAGCAGTGGGGCAGCAATGGGGCAGCAATGGGGAGGCAATGGGGCAGCAATGGGGAATCAATGGGGAATCAATGGGGAATCAATGGGGCAGCAGTAGGGAATCAATGGGGCAGCAGTGGGGAATCAATGGGGTGGCAATGGGGAATCAATGGGGCAGCAGTGGGGAATCAATGGGGAATCAATGGGGAATCAATGGGGAATCAATGGGGCAGCAATGGGGAATCAATGGGGTGGCAATGGGGAATCAATGGGGAATCAATGGGGCAGCAGTGGGGCAGCAGTGGGGCAGCAGTGGGGCAGCAGTGGGGAATCAATGGGGTGGCAATGGGGTGGCAATGGGGCATCAACGAGGCATCAATGGGTTATCATCAACGGGGCATCATCAGTGGGGCAGCATCAATGGGGCACCCATGGGTGCGAGGACACCCCATAGCACCCCATCACATCCCAGCACCCTCCAAGCCCCCAAGTGCCCTAGAGGGTCCCCATCCCATCCTTCCCCCCCCCAAAGGCTGCCCCATAGCATGTCCCATAGGGTGCCCCATAGGGTGCCCCATAGGGCGCTATGGGGCGCTATGGGGTGCCCCATAGGGCGCTTTACCTTGATGCAGGGCAGGATCTGCCCCATGATCACGGCCTCGCGGCAGTCGGGGGCCAGGTTCTCGCAGAACTCTGCAGGGACGAGGACATGTGGGGCGGCTATGGGGCAGGAAGGGCCTTCCGTGGGCTCCCTATGGGGCTCTATGGGTCTCTATGGGGTCTCTATGGGTCTCTATGGGGTCTCTATGGGGTCTGTATGGGTCTCTATGGGTCTCTATGGGTCTCTATGGGGTCTCTATGGGTCTCTATGGGGTCTCTATGGGTCTCTATGGGGTCTCTATGGGGTCTCTATGGGTCTCTATGGGGTCTCTATGGGGTCTCTATGGGTCTCTATGGGGCTCTATGGGGTCTCTATGGGGTTTCTATGGGTCTCTATGGGTCTCTATGGGGTCTCTATGGGGTCTCTATGGGTCTCTATGGGGTCTCTATGGGGTCTCTATGGGTCTCTATGGGGTCTCTATGGGGTCTCTATGGGTCTCTATGGGTCTCTGTGGGGTCTCTATGGGTCCCTATGGGTCTCTATGGGTCCCTATGGGGTCTCTGTGGGTCGCTATGGGTTCTCTATGGGTTCTCTATTGGTCTCTATGGGTCTCTGTGGGTCCCTATGGGGTTTCTATGGGTTCTCCATTGGTCTCTATGGGTCTCTGTGGGTCCCTATGGGGTTTCTATGGGTTCTCCATTGGTCTCTATGGGTCTCTGTGGGTCTCTATTGGTCTCTATGGGTCCCTGTGGGTCACTATGTGGTCTCTATGGGTCACTATAGGTCCCTATGGGCTATGGGTTTCTATGGGGTCTCTATGGGGTTTCTATGGGTCCCTACAGGTCTCTGTGTGGTCTCTATGGGTCCCTATGGGTTCTCTATGGGTCTCTGTTGGTCTCTATGGGTCCCTGTGGGTCCCTATGGGATATCTATGGGGTCTCTATGATCTCTATGGGTCCCTATGGGTTCTCTATGGGTTTCTATGGGGTCTCTATGGGTCCCTATGGGTCGCTATGGGGTCTCTACAGGTTCTCTACGGGGTCTCTATGGGGTCTCTATGGGTCCCTATGGGTCTCTATGGGTCTCTATGGGTCTCTATGGGTCCCTATGGGGGCTCTATGGGATCTCTATGGGTCCCTATGGGTCGCTATGGGGTCTCTACAGGTTCTCTACGGGGTCTCTATGGGGTCTCTATGGGTCCCTATGGGTCTCTATGGGTCTCTGTGGGTCCCTATGAGTCTCTATGTGGTCTCTATGGGATCTCTATGGGTCCCCATGGGGTCTCTATGGGTCTCTATGGGCCGCTATGGGTTCTCTATGGGTTCTCTATGGGTCTCTATGGGTCCCTATGGGTCTCTATGGGTCGCTATGGGTTCTCTATGGGTTCTCTATGTGGCCTCTATGGGTCCCTGTGGGCTCTCTATGGGTCTCTATGGCTCTCTATGGGTCCCTATGGGCTATCTATGGGTCTCTATGGGTCTCTATCAGTCTCTATGGCTCTCTATGGGCTCTCTATGGGTCGCTATGGGTCGCTATGGGGCTCACCTTTGACCTTATGGGACGCAGCCGCCCGCACCTCGGCCTCGCAGTCCTTCATGAGGCTCTGGAAGGCCCCGACCAGGTCGCTCTTGGTGATCTCCGGCCCCACGGCGCGCTGGAGCTATGGGGCAGGAAGGGGCTTCAATGGCTCCTGCCCCATAGATGTGGGGCACGGGACCCACACCCAAAGGGGGCATCCAATGGGAGCAGGTAGGGGAGCACTGGAGAGAGGTAGAGCCCCAGAGTGCCCCATTGATGCTGCCATTGCTGCCCCACTGAGCCCCATTGATGTTCCCATTGAGCCCCATTGATGTTCCCATTGCTGCCCCATTGAGCCCCATTGATGTTCCCATTGAGCCCCATTGATGTTCCCATTGAGCCCCATTGATGTTCCCATTGCTGCCCCACTGAGCCCCACTGATGTTCCCATTGAGCCCCACTGATGTTCCCATTGAGCCCCATTGATGTTCCCATTGCTGCCCCACTGATGTTCCCATTGAGCCCCACTGATGTTCCCATTGCTGCCCCATTGAGCCCCATTGATGTTCCCATTGCTGCCCCACTGATGTTCCCATTGAGCCCCACTGATGTTCCCATTGCTGCCCCATTGAGCCCCATTGATGTTCCCATTGCTGCCCCACTGAGCCCCATTGATGTTCCCATTGCTGCCCCACTGATGTTCCCATTGCTGCCCCATTGAGCCCCACTGATGTTCCCATTGAGCCCCATTGATGTTCCCATTGCTGCCCCACTGAGCCCCATTGATGTTCCCATTGAGCCCCATTGATGTTCCCATTGAGCCCCATTGATGTTCCCATTGAGCCCCATTGATGCTGCCATTGCTGCCCCACTGAGCCCCATTGATGTTCCCATTGCTGCCCCACTGATGTTCCCATTGAGCCCCATTGATGTTCCCATTGCTGCCCCACTGAGCCCCACTGATGTTCCCATTGAGCCCCATTGATGTTCCCATTGAGCCCCATTGATGTTCCCATTGAGCCCCATTGAGCCCCATTGATGTTCCCATTGAGCCCCATTGATGTTCCCATTGAGCCCCATTGATGCTCCCATTGCTGCCCCATTGAGCCCCATTGATGTTCCCATTGAGCCCCATTGATGCTCCCATTGCTGCCCCATTGAGCCCCATTGATGTTCCCATTGAGCCCCATTGATGTTCCCATTGCTGCCCCACTGAGCCCCATTGATGTTCCCATTGCTGCCCCATTGATGTTCCCATTGAGCCCCATTGATGTTCCCATTGCTGCCCCATTGAGCCCCATTGATGTTCCCATTGAGCCCCATTGATGTTCCCATTGCTGCCCCATTGAGCCCCATTGATGTTCCCATTGAGCCCCATTGAGCCCCATTGATGTTCCCATTGAGCCCCACTGATGTTCCCATTGAGCCCCATTGATGTTCCCATTGCTGCCCCACTGAGCCCCATTGATGTTCCCATTGAGCCCCACTGATGTTCCCATTGAGCCCCATTGATGTTCCCATTGAGCCCCATTGATGTTCCCATTGCTGCCCCATTGAGCCCCATTGATGTTCTTCCATTCCCCCCCATGTTACCCCATTGCTCCCCATTGATGCTCCCATTCCCCCCTTGTGTTACCCCATTGCTCCCCATTGATGACCCCATTGCTCCCCACTGATGACCCCATTGATGACCCCATTGCTCCCCACTGATGACCCCATTGATGCTCCCATTGCTCCCAATTGATGACCCCATTGATGACCCCATTGCTCCCCACTGATGACCCCATTGACGCTCCCATTGCTCCCCATTGATGCTCCCATTGCTCCCCATTGATGACCGCATTGATGACCCCATTGCTCCCCATTAATGACCCCATTGCTCCCCCCAATGACCCCATTGATGCTCCCATTGCTCCCCATTGATGACCCCATTGCTCCCCCCGATGACCCCATTGATGACCCCATTGCTCCCCATTGATGACCCCATTGCTCCCCATTGATGACACCATTGCTCCCCCCGATGACCCCATTGATGCTCCCATTGCTCCCCATTGATGACTCCATTGATGACCCCATTGATGACCCCATTGACGCTCCCATTCCCCCCCATTGATGACGCGGTTGATGACGCGGTTGATGACGCGGCTGATGACGTCACCGCTGACGTCACTGACCTCGGTGAACTTGTCGGCCACCATGTACCGCACCCGCCAGGACTTGTCCTCGGCCGCCTGCCGCAGCGTGGGCAGCACCAGCGCCTCCAGCTCCTCCTGCGGCAGCAGCTGCGCGATGCTCACGCACGCCTCCACCGCCAGCAGCCGCACCGAGTCCTGTGGGAATGACATTGGGATCCATTGGGATCGATCCATTGGGATCCATTGGGATCGCTCCATGGGGATGCATCGGGAAGGGTCCCATAGGGAGGGCCCTGCGGCAGCAGCTGCGCGATGCTCACGCACGCCTCCACCGCCAGCAGCCGCACCGAGTCCTGTGGAGAACATCCATTGGGATCCATCCATTGGGATCGATCCATTGGGATCCATTGGGATCCATTGGGATCGATCCATTGGGCTGCATTGGGATCGATCCATTAGGATGCATTGGGATCGATCCATTGGGATGCACTGGGATTGATCCATTGGGATGCATTGGGATCGATCCATTGGGATCCATTGAGAATGATCCATTGGGATCCATTGGGATCGATCCATTAGGATGCATTAGGATCCATTGGGATCGATCCATTGGGATCCATTGGGATCCATCCATTGCGATCGATTCATTGGGATCCATTGGGATCCACTGGGATCAATCCATTGGGATCCATTGGGATCGATCCATTGGGATCGATCCATTGGGATTGATCCACTGGGATCCATTGGCATAGATCCATTGGGATCCATTGGGATCGATCCATTGGGATCCACTGGGATCGATCCATTGGGATCCATTGGGATGCACTGGGATCGCTCCATTGGGATGCATTGGGAATGATCCATTGGGATGCATTGGGATCGATCCATTGGGATGCATTGGGAAGGGTCCCATAGGGAGGGCCCTGCGGCAGCAGCTGCGCGATGCTCACGCACGCCTCCACCGCCAGCAGCCGCACCGAGTCCTGCATGGGGGGAATCACATTGGGATCCATCCATTGGGATCCATCCATTGGGATCCATTGGGATCCATCCATTGGGATGCATTGGGGTCGATCCATTGGGACCCATTGGGATCGCTCCATTGGGATGCATTGGGAAGGGTCCCATAGGGAGGGCCCTGCGGCAGCAGCTGCGCGATGCTCACGCACGCCTCCACCGCCAGCAGCCGCACCGAGTCCTGCATGGGGGGAAACATCCATTGGGATCAATCCATTGGGATCAATCCATTGGGATCCACTGGGATCGCTCCATTGGGATGCATTGGGATCAATCCATTGGGATCCATTGGGATCGCTCCATTGGGATGCATTGGGAAGGGTCCCATAGGGAGGGCCCTGCGGCAGCAGCTGCGCGATGCTCACGCACGCCTCCACCGCCAGCAGCCGCACCGAGTCCTGCATGGGGGGAAACATCCATTGGGATCAATCCATTGGGATCAATCCATTGGGATCCACTGGGATCGCTCCATTGGGATGCATTGGGATCAATCCATTGGGATCCATTGGGATCGCTCCATTGGGATGCATTGGGAAGGGTCCCATAGGGAGGGCCCTGCGGCAGCAGCTGCGCGATGCTCACGCACGCCTCCACCGCCAGCAGCCGCACCGAGTCCTGTGGAGAACATCCATTGGGATCCATCCATTGGGATCGATCCATTGGGATCCATCCATTGGGATCGATCCATTGGGACCCATTGGGATCGATCCATTGGGATCCATTGGGACCCATTGGGATCGATCCATTGGGATGCATTGGGATCGATCCATTGGGATGCATTGGGATGCATTGGGATCGATCCATTGGGATCGATCCATTGGGATCCATTGGGATCCATCCATTGGGATCCACTGGGATCGCTCCATTGGGATGCATTGGGAAGGGTCCCATAGGGAGGGCCCTGCGGCAGCAGCTGCGCGATGCTCACGCACGCCTCCACCGCCAGCAGCCGCACCGAGTCCTATGGAGAACATCCATTGGGATCCATCCATTGGGATCCATTGGGATCGATCCATTGGGACCCATTGGGATCGATCCATTGGGATGCATTGGGATGCATTGGGATCCATCCATTGGGATCGATCCATTGGGATCGATCCATTGGGCTGCATTGGGATCGATCCATTGGGATCCATTAGGATCGATCCATTGGGAGGCATTGGGATCAATCCATTGGGATCCATTGGGATCCATCCATTGGGATGCATTGGGATCGATCCATTGGGATGCATTGGGAAGGGTCCCATAGGGAGGGCCCTGCGGCAGCAGCTGCGCGATGCTCACGCACGCCTCCACCGCCAGCAGCCGCACCGAGTCCTATGGGAATCACATTGGGATCCATTGGGATCCATTGGGATCGATCCATTGGGATCCATTGGGATCCATTGGGATCCATTGGGATCGATCCATTGGGATCGATCCATTGGGATCCATCGGGATCGATCCATTGGGATGCATTGGGATCGCTCCATTGGGATGCATCGGGAAGGGTCCCATAGGGAGGGCCCTGCGGCAGCAGCTGCGCGATGCTCACGCACGCCTCCACCGCCAGCAGCCGCACCGAGTCCTATGGAGAACATCCATTGGGATCCATCCATTGGGATCCATTGGGATCGATCCATTGGGATGCATTGGGATCCATTGGGATCCATCCATTGGGATCGATCCATTGGGATCGATCCATTGGGCTGCATTGGGATCGATCCATTGGGATCCATTAGGATCGATCCATTGGGATGCATTGGGATCGATCCATTGGGATCCATCGGGATCGCTCCATTGGGATGCATCGGGAAGGGTCCCATAGGGAGGGCCCTGCGGCAGCAGCTGCGCGATGCTCACGCACGCCTCCACCGCCAGCAACCGCACCGAGTCCTGCATGGGGGAATCACATTGGGATCCATCCATTGGGATCCATCCATTGGGATCCATTGGGATCCATCCATTGGGATCCATTGGGATCGATCCATTGGGACCCATTGGGATCGATCCATTGGGATCGATCCATTGGGATCAATTAGGATCCATTGGGACCCATTGGGATCGATCCATTGGGATGCATTGGGATGCATTGGGATCGATCCATTGGGATCGATCCATTGGGATGCATTGGGATCGATCCATTGGGATCCATTGGGATCGATCCATTGGGATGCATTGGGATCGATCCATTGGGATGCATTGGGATCCATTGGGATCGAGCCATTGGGATCCATTGGGATCGAGCCATTGGGATCGAGCCATTGGGATCCATTGGGATCGATCCATTGGGATGCATTGGGATGCATTGGGATCGATCCATTGGGATCCACTGGGATTGCTCCATTGGGATCGCTCCATTGGGACCCATTGGGATCACTCCATTGGGATCGATGCATTGGGATGCATTGGGATGCATTGGGATCGATCCATTGGGATGCATTGGGATGCATTGGGAACGATCCATTGGGATGCATTGGGATGCATTGGGATCGATCCATTGGGATGCATTGGGATGCATTGGGATCGATCCATTGGGATCCACTGGGATTGCTCCATTGGGATCGCTCCATTGGGACCCATTGGGATCACTCCATTGGGATCGATGCATTGGGATGCATTGGGATGCATTGCGATCGATCCATTGGGCTGAATTGGGATCAATCCATTGGGATCGATCCATTGGGATCGATCCATTGGGATCGATCCATTGGGATCACTCCATTGGGATCGATCCGTTGGGATCCATTGGGATCCATTGGGATCCATCCATTGGGATCGATCCATTGGGATGCATTGGGATCCATCCATTGGGATCCATCCATTGGGATCCATCCATTGGGATCCATTGGGATCCGTTGGGATCGCTCCATTGGGATGCATCGGGAAGGGTCCCATAGGGAGGGCCCTGCGGCAGCAGCTGCGCGGTCCTCACGCACGCCTCCACCGCCAGCAGCCGCACCGAGTCCTGTGGGAAACATCCATTGGGATCCATTGGGATCCATTGGGATCGATCCATTGGGATGCATTGGGATCGATCCATTGGGATCCATTTGGATCGGTCCATTGGGATGCATTGGGAATGATCCATTGGGATGCATTGGGATCGATCCATTGGGCTGCATTGGGATCGATCCATTGGGATGCATCGGGAAGGGTCCCATAGGGATGCATTGGGAATGATCCATTGGGAAACACATAGGGATCCATTGGGAATGATCCATTGGGATCGCTCCATTGGGAATGATCCATTGGGAATGATCCATTGGGATCCATTGGGAATGATCCATAGGGATCCATAGGAAATCCCATAGGGATCCTTTGGGAAACACATAGGGATCCTTTGGGAAACACATAGGGATGCATTGGGAAACACAGAGGGATCCATTGGGAAACACATAGGGAATGGTCCCATAGGGAATCACATAGGGAACGGTCCCACAGGGAATGGTTCCATAGGGAATCCCATAGAGAATCACATAGGGATCCATTGGGAAACACATAGGGAATCACATAGGGAACGGTCCCATAGGGAATCCCATAGGAATCCATTGGGAAACACATAGGGATACAGAGGGACTCAAATACGGCATGGTCCCATACGGAATCCCATAGGGAATCATAGAGGGAATCCCATAGGGATCCATCACTGGGAATCACATAGGGATACATAGGGAATCACATAGGGAATGGTCCCATAAGGAATCCCATAGGGATCCACTGGGAATCATATAAGGATAAATAGGGAATCACCTAGGGAATCGTATAGGGATCCATTGGGAATCACATAGGGATCCATTGGGAATGGTCCCATAGGGAATCCCATAGAGAATCATAGAAGGAATCCCATAGGGATCCATTGGGAATGGTCCCATAGGGAATCCCACAGAGAACCACATGGGGAATCACACAGGGATCCATTGGGAATCACATTGGGAATCCCACAGGGACACATAGGGAACCACATAGAGAATGATGCCATAGGGAATGCCACAGGGAATCACATAAGGAATGGTCCCATAGGGATTGATGGGGATTGCATAAGGTATTCCATAGGCACCAATGGGAATCCCATGGGAATGACGGGAATTCAATAGCGAATAATGGGAATTCCATAGGCACCAATGGGAATTCCATAGGGAATGATGGGAATTCAATAGTGAATAATGGGAATCCCATGGGAATAACGGGAATTCAATAGCGAATAACCTGAATTCCATAGGCACCAATGGGAATTCCATAGGGAATGACAGGAATTCAATAGTGAATAATGGAAATTCCATGGGGAATAATGGGGATCCCATAGGGAATAACGGGAATTCAATAGGGACCAATGGGAATTCCATAGGGACCAATGGGAATCCCATAGGGAATGACGAGAATTCAACAGTGAATAATGGGAATTCCATAGGGAACAATGGGAATCCCATAGGGAATGATGGGAATGTCATGGGGAATGATGGGAATTCTACAGGAAATGATGGGAATCCCATAGGGAATAATGGGAATCCCATGGGGAATAATGGGAATTCCATCGGGAATGACGAGAATTCAATAGTGAATAATGGGAATCCCATAGGGACCAATGGGAATCCCATAGGGAATGACGGGAATTCAATAGTGAATAATGGGAATCCCATAGGGAATAACGGGAATTCCATAGGGACCAATGGGAATCCCATAGGGAATAACGGGAATTCCATAGGGACCAATGGGAATCCCATAGGGAATGATGGGAATTCAATAGTGAATAATGGGAATTCCATGGGGAATAACGGGGATCCCATAGGGAATAACGGGAATTCAATAGGGAATAACGGGAATTCCATAAGGACCAATGGGAATCCCATAGGGAATGATGGGAATTCAATAGTGAATAATGGCAATTCCATGGGGAATAACGGGAATCCCATAGGGAATGATGGGAATCCCATAGGGAATAACGGGAATTCCATAGGGACCAATGGGAATCCCATAGGGAATGATGGGAATTCAATAGTGAATAATGGGAATCCCATAGGGACCAATGGGAATTCCATAGGGAACGATGGGAATTCAATAGTGAATAATGGGAATCCCATAGGGACCAATGGGAATTCCATGGGGAATAACGGGGATCCCATAGGGAATAATGGGAATTCAATAGGGAATAATGGGAATTCCATAGGGACCAATGGGAATCCCATAGGGAATAACAGGAATTCCATCGGGAATGATGGGAATTCCATAGGGAATAACGGGAATTCCGTAGGGACCAATGGGAATCCCATAGGGAATGACGGGAATTCAATAGTGAAAAATGGGAATTCCATGGGGAATAATGGGGATCCCATGGGGAATAATGGGAATCCCATGGGGAACAATGGGAATCCCATCGGGAACGATGGGAATCCCATCGGGAATGATGGGAATTCCATAGGGAATAATGGGAATCCCATGGGGAATAACGGGAATCCCATAGGGACCAATGGGAATCCCATAGGGAATAACGGGAATTTCATCGGGAATGATGGGAATCCCATAGGGACCAATGGGAATCCCATGGGAATGACGGGAATTCAATAGTGAATAACGGGAATTCCATGGGGAATAATGGGGATCCCATAGGGAATAATGGGAATTCCATAGGGAACAATGGGAATCCCATAGGGAATAACGGGAATTCAATAGGGACCAATGGGAATTCCATAGGGAATAATGGGAATCCCATAGGGAATGATGGGAATCCCATAGGGAATGATGGGAATCCCATAGGGAATGATGGGAATTCCATGGGGAATAACGGGAATCCCATAGGGAATGATGGGAATTCCATAGGGAATAATGGGAATCCCATAGGGAATAACGGGAATCCCATAGGGACCAATGGGAATCCCATAGGGAATGACGAGAATTCCATGGGGAATAACGGGACCTGCTCGTCGGAGGCCAGGCTGGAGAACATGGGAATGATCTCGCTCTTGACGTGCTCGAGCTCCAGGACCTTGGCGAATTCCCCAAGCTTGGAAGCGGCGGCGCGGCGCACCATGGGCGTGTCGTCGGAGCACAGCGTGCGGAAGTACCTGCGGGACCGGGAATGGGATTGGGGGAACGGGGTAACGGGAATGGGATTGGGGGAACGGGATAATGGGAATGGGATTGGGGTAACGGGATAACGGGATAACGGGATAATGGGGTAACGGGAATGGGATTGGGGGAATGGGATAACGGGAATGGGATTGGGGGAACGGGGTAACGGGATAATGGGATTGGGGGAACGGGATAACGGGAATGGGATTGGGGGAACGGGGTAACGGGATAATGGGATTGGGGTAACGGGAATGGGATTGGGGGAACGGGGTAACGGGATAATGGGATTGGGGTAACGGGAATGGGATTGGGGTAACGGGAATGGGATTGGGGTAACGGGTAACGGGATATGGGGTAACGGGGTATGGGATAACGGTTAACGGGGTAACGGGTAACGGGATATGGGGTAATGGGATAACGGGGTAACGACATAACGGGATAACGGGATAATGGGATAATGGGGTAACGGGATATGGGGTAACGGGATATGGGGTAACGGGATAACGGGGTATGGGATAACGGGGTAACGGGATAACGGGGTATGGGATAACGGGGTAACGGGATAACGGGGTATGGGATATGGGGTAACGGGATATGGGATGACAGGGTAATGGGATAATGGGATATGAGATAACGGGGTAACGGGATAATGGGATAACGGGGTAACGGGATATGGGATAATGGGATAACGGGGTAACGGGGTAACGGGATATGGGATAACGGGGTAACAGGGTAACGGGATAATGGGATAACGGGGCAATGGGGTAATGGGATATGGGGTAACGGGGTAATGGGATAATGGGATATGGGATAACGGGGTATGGGGTAATGGGATACGGGATAACGGGGTAACAAGGTATGGGATGACAGGGTAATGGGATAAGGGGATATGGGATAACGGGGTAACAGGTAACAGGGTAACGGGATAATGGGATAACGGGGTAACGGGATATGGGATAACGGGATATGGGATAACGGGGTAATGGGATATGGGATAACAGGGTAACGGGGTAAGGGGATAATGGGATGACAGGGTAATGGGATAATGGGATATGAGATAACGGGGTAACGGCATAACGGGGTAACGGGATAATGGGATAACGGGGTAATGGGATAATGGGATATGGGATGAAGGGATGGGATAAAGAAGGGATGGGATGGGAGAGAAGGAATGGGATGGGAAAGGATAGGACGGGAGAGAAGGGATGGGATAAAAGGGATGGGATAAAAGGGATGGGAAAGGATGGGATGGGGTACCATAGACACCCTTGAGAACCATCTAAGATGGGTTGGGACCACCATGGTTGGGTCGAGGCCACCCTAGAGGCTCCCATTGACCCCCTAACACCCCAATGGCTCCTGAAGACATTGACCCCTAACACCCCAACGGCCCAACCTGAAGGGTTATAGGTTCTATGGGATGTCATAGATGGCCTTGAGGACCACGTACGATGCGATGGGACCACCATGGTTGGGTCGAGGACACCCTATAGGCTCCCACTGACCAACCTATGGACCATATAATGGGTTATAGGGTCAACATGAAGACCATGGGGTACCATAGACACCCTTGAAGGCCATCTACGATGCGATGGGACCACCACGTTTGGGTCGAGGACACCCTAGAGGCTCCCATTGACCCCCTAACACCCCAACGGCCCAACCTAAAGCCTATGGGATGCCATAGATGGCCTTGAGGACCACGTACGATGCGATGGGACCACCACAGTTGGGTCGAGGCCACCCTATAGGCTCCCACTGACCAACCTATGGACCCCATAATGGGTTATAGGTTCAATCTGAAGACTATGGGATGTCACAGATGCCCTTGAGGACCATCTAAGATGGCTTGGGACCACCACAGTTGGGTCGAGGCCACCCTAGAGGCTCCCATTGACCAACCTATGGACTCCATAATGGGTTATAGGGTCAACATGAAGACCATGGGGTACCATAGACACCCTTGAAGGCCATCTACGATGCGATGGGACCACCACGTTTGGGTCGAGGACACCCTAGAGGCTCCCATTGACCCCCTAACACCCCAACGGCCCAACCTAAAGCCTATGGGGTGCCATAGATGCCCTTGAGGACCATGTACGATGCGATGGGACCACCATGGTTGGGTCGAGGACACCCTATAGGCTCCCACTGACCAACCTATGGACCCCATAACGGGTTATAGGTTCAATCTGAAGACTATGGGATGTCACAGATGCCCTTGAGGACCATCTAAGATGGGTTGGGACCACCACGGTTGGGTCGAGGACACCCTATAGGCTCCCACTGACCAACCTATGGACCATATAATGGGTTATAGGGTCAACATGAAGACCATGGGGGTACCATAGACACCCTTGAAGGCCATCTACGATGCGATGGGACCACCACGGTTGGGTCGAGGCCGCCCTAGAGGCTCCCATTGACCCCCTAACACCCCAACGGCCCAACCTGAAGACTATGGGGTGCCATAGATGGCCTTGAGGACCACGTACGATGCGATGGGACCACCATGGTTGGGTCGAGGACACCCTATAGGCTCCCACTGACCAACCTATGGACCCCATAATGGGTTATAGGGTCAACATGATGTCAGACCCTTGATGGGGTTGGGTCGACCATAGACACCAACCTTGGAAGGCCATCTAGATGCCCTTGAGGACCACGTATGATGCGATGGGACCACCATGGTTGGGTTGAGGCCGCCCTAGAGACTCCCATTGACCCCCTAACACCCCAACGGCCCAACCTAAAGCCTATGGGATGCCATAGATGCCCTTGAGGACCACCTAAGATGGGTTGGGACCACCACAGTTGGGTCGAGGACACCCTATAGGCTCCCACTGACCAACCTATGGACCCCATAATGGGTTATAGGGTCAACATGAAGACCATGGGGTACCATAGACACCCTTGAAGGCCATCTACGAGGCGATGGGACCACCACGGTTGGGTCGAGGCCGCCCTAGAGGCTCCCATTGACCCCCTAACACCCCAACGGCCCAACCTAAAGCCTATGGGATGCCATAGATGCCCTTGAGGACCATCTAAGATGACAACATAAGACCATGGGATGCCATAGATGCTCTTGAGGACCACGTACGATGCGATGGGACCACCACGGTTGGGTCGAGGCCGCCCTAGAGACTCCCATTGACCCCCTAACACCCCAACAGCCCAACCTAAAGCCTATGGGATGCCATAGATGCCTTTCAAACCCCCCCCCACGGCACTCACTGCCTCAGCTCGGCCTTGACGGGGCTGGAGACGCGGGGGTAGCAGACGCTGAAGAGCCCGCAGGCCGAGGTGCGCGACGTGAACCAGTCGCCCCCCGCCAAGCGCTTGACCAAGGGCACGAAGTGGCCCTCCAAGTCGGGGGGGGCGTGCTCGTGGGACACGGCCCGCAGCGACTCCACCGCCTTGTCCCGCACCACCGTCTCCTCCACCGTGGCCAGGCTCTCCAGAGGGGGCTGAAAGCACAAGGAAGGGGGATGACGACACACAATGGGGATCCAATGAGGCCCAACGGGGATCCAATGGGACTCAAGGGGGCTCAACGGCACCTAAGCCATCCCAATGGCCAACGAACCCAACCCAAAGGCACCCAACCCATCCCAAAGGCACCCAACCCATCCCAATGGCCAACCAACCCATCCCAATGGTCAACAAACCCATCCCAATGGCACCCAACCCATCCCAATGCCAACCAACCCATCCCAACGGCACCCAACCAAACAGCACCCAACCCATCCCAATGGCACCCAACACATCCCAATGGTACCCAACACATCCCAATGGCACCCAACCCATCCCAATGGTCAACCAACCCATCCCAATGGCCAAGCAACCCATCCCAATGGCCAAGCAACCCATCCCAATGGCCAAGCAACCCATCCCAATGGAACCCAACCCATCCCAATGGTCAACCAACCCATCCCAATGGTCAAGCAACCCATCCCAATGCCAACCAACCCATCCCAATGCCAACCAACCTATTCAATGGTCAACCAACCCATCCCAATGGCACACAACCCATCCCAATGGCACCCAACCCATTCCAATGGCCAACCAACCCAACCCAAAGGCACCCAACCCAATGGCACCCAACCCAACCCAACGGCACCCAACCTGTCCCAATGGCACCCAACCCACCCCTATAGGACCCAACCCAACGGCACCCATCCCAACCCAATACCACCCAACCCAATGGCACCCAATGGCACCCCAATGGCACCCAACCTAAGGGCACCCAACCCGACGGCACCCACAGCACCCCAATGGCACCCAACCCAACACAACGGCACCCACCCCAATGGCACCCAATGCATCCCAATGGCACTCAACCTAATGGCATCCAACCCAACGGCACCCAACCCACCCCAATGGCACCCAACCCAACACAACGGTACCCAACGCAATGGCACCCAATGCATCCCAATGGCACACAATGCATCCCAATGGCACCCAACCCACCCCAATGGCACCCAACCCAACCCAATGGCACCCACCCATCATAATGGCACCCAACCCATCCCAATGGCACCCGACCCAACCCAACGGCACCCGACCCAACCCAAGGGCACCCAACCCATCCCAATGGCACCCAACCCAACCCAATGGCACCCAACCCAACCCAACGGCACCCGACCCAACCCAATGGCACTTGACCCAACCCAATGGCATCCAACGCAATGGCACCCAATGCATCCCAATGGCACCCAACCCAATGGCACCCAATGCATCCCAATGGCACCCAACCCAACCCAATGGCACCCACCCATCATAATGGCACCCAATGCATCCCAATGGCACCCACCCCACCTCAATAGCACCCATGGGTGCTGGGGCCCTACCAGCAGGCAATGCACGTATTCGGGCCCCCCGACGAGCGCGGTGAAGGTGCCCAACTGCTCGGCCAGCGCCAGCAGCACCTCGTCCTCATCGTAGATGGTGTCTGGGGGGGGGGAAGAGGCACCCAGCACCCATGGGTGCAGGCTTTGAACCCCCCAGAACCCTTCCTATTCCTTTGGCTCCTCCCATCCTTTAAGCTCCTCCCATTCCTTAAACTCACCCCATGCCCTTAAGCCCCGCCCACCCCTCAAGCTCCTCCCATCCCTCCTAAAGCCATCCCATCCAATAAGCTCCACCCACTCCCATAAGCCCCTCCCTTCCCTTAAACCCCTCCGCTTAAGCCCCGCCCACCCCTTAAGCCCCTCCCACCACTTCAGGCCCTCCTATCACCTAAGCCCCTCCCACCCCTTAAGCTCCTCCCACCCCCTTAAGCCCCTCCTACCCCCTTTAAGGACCTCCAATCCCTTAAGCCCCCTCCCCTCCCTTAAGCTCCTCCCCCCCATAAACCCCTCCCACCCACTTAACCCGCCCCAAACCCCTTAAGCCCCTCCCCTCCCAAGCCCCTCCCACCCCTTAAACCCCTCCCACCCCCTTAAGCCCCTCCTACCCCCTTTAAGGACCTCCAATCCCTTAAGCCCCCTCCCCTCCCTTAAGCTCCTCCCACCCATAAACCCCTCCCACCCACTTAACCCGCCCCAAACCCCTTAAGCCCCTCCCCTCCCAAGCCCCTCCCACCCCTTAAACACCTCCCACCCCCTTAAGCCCCTCCTACCCCCTTTAAGGACCTCCAATCCCTTAAGCCCCCTCCCCTCCCTTAAGCTCCTCCCACTACCTTAAGCCCCTCCCACCCCTTAACCCCCTCCCACCCCTTAAGCCCCTCCCACCCCTTAAGCCCCTCCCCTTCCCCCCCCCCCCTTAGCCTACAACAGGGCAGCTTTTGCGCCCCCATAGGAGCACCTAGGACCCCCCCCTTGTTACCCCCCCCCCTTGGGGCAAATACCCCCCCCTTTGGGGGCAAATTCCCCCCCTATGGGGGCAAATACCCCCCCCTTGGTTCAATTCCCCCCCCATGGGGCAAATACTCCCCCCCATGGGGCAAATACCCCCCCCTTGGGGGCAAATCCCCCCCCATGGGGGCAAATACTCCCCCCCATGGGGCAAATACCCCCCCCTTGGGGGCAAATCCCCCCCCATGGGGGCAAATTCCCCCTCTTTGGGGGCAAATACCCCCTCTTTGGGGGCAAATTCTCCCCCTATGGGGGCAAATACCCCCCCTTGGGGGGCAAATACCCTCCCCTTTGGGGGCAAATTCCCCCCCTTTGGGGGCAAATACCCCCCCTTGGGGGGCAAATACCCTCCCCTTTGGGGGCAAATTCCCCCCCTATGGGGGCAAATACCCCCCCTTGGAGGGCAAATACCCTCCCCTTTGGGGGCAAATTCCCCCCCTATGGGGGCAAATACCCCCCCATGGGGGCAAATACCCCCCCCCTTGGTTCAATTCCCCCCCCCATGGGGGCAAATACCCCCCCAGGGGGGCAAATACCCCCTCTTTGGGGGCAAATTCCCCCCCCATGGGGCAAATACACCCCCCATGGGGCAATTCCCCCCCCCCTTACCAGTAAGGAAGGGCAGGAGCTCGCTGCGGGTGCGTTCGACCCCCAGGGCCAAGGCAATGGTCGAGAGCTTCTTGATGCTGTTCAACCGGAGCTGCAAAGGGGGGGGGGTCAGGATTTGCCCCCCCAGGGGGTAAATGGGGGGATGGGGAGTCAGGATTTGCCCCCCCAGGGGGTAAATGGGGGATGGGGGGGTCAGGATTTGCCCTCCCAGGGGGTAAATGGGGGGAGGGGGGTCAGGATTTGCCCCCCCAGGGGGTAAATGGGGGGAGGGGGGTCAGGATTTGCCCCCCCAGGGGGTAAATGGGGGGGGGGGGGGTATTAAGCATCCTAAGGGGGGAAGGAGGGGGCAATGGGGGGGGAATGGGGGGGGTTATGGGGGGAAATGGGGGGTGTATAGGGGGAAATAAGGGTCTATAGGGGGCAAATGGGGGTTTATAGGGGGAAATGGGGGGCTAGGGGGGGGAAATGGGGGTGTGTAGGGGGATATGGGGATGTATAGGGGGAAATGGGGGGCTATAGGGGGAAATGGGAGGCCATAGGGGGGAAATAAGAGTCTATAGGGGGGAAATGAGGAGCTATAGGAGGGAAATGGGGGGGCTATAGGGGGGAAATGGGGGGCTATAGGGGGGAAATGGGGGGCTATAGGGGGGAAATGGGGGGCTATAGGAGGGAAATGGGGGGCTATAGGGGGGAAATGGGGGGTTATGGGGGGAAATGGGGGGCTATAGGGGGGAAATGGGGGGCTATAGGGGGGAAATAAGAGTCTATAGGGGGGAAATGAGGAGCTATAGGAGGGAAATGGGGGTCTATAGGGGGGAAATGGAGACCTATAGAGGAGAAATGGGGGTCTATGGGGGGTAAATAGGGGTCTAAAAGGGGGAAATGGGGGCCTATAGGGGGAAATAAGGTTCTGTAGGGGGCAAATGGGGGTCTATGGGGGTAAATATGGGTCTATAGGGGGGAAATGGGGGCCTATAGGGAGGAAATAAGGTTCTGTAGGGCACAAATGGGGGTCTGTGGGGGATATGGGGGTCTATGGGGGTGATATGGGGGTCTATGGGGGTGATATGGGGGTCTATAGGGGTGATATGGGGGTCTATAGCAGAAAATATGGGTCTGTAAGGGGAAAATGGGGGTCTATAGAGGGGAAATAGGGGTCTATAGGGAGTAAATAGGGGCTATAGAGGGAAATGGGGGGCTATGGGGGGGAAATGGGGGTCTCTAAGAAGGAAATGGAGACCTATGGGGGCAAATATGGGTCTATAGGGGGGAAATGGGAGTCTATGGGGGAAATGGGGGCTATAGAGGGAAATAGGGGTCTATAGGGGAGAAATGGGGGTCTATAGGGGGGAAATAAGGTCCTGTAGGGGGCAAACGAGGGTCTATGGGGGAAATGGGAGTCTATAGAGGGGAAATGGGGGTCTATAGGGTTTATATGGGGGTCTATGGGGGTTAAATGGGGGGTCTATGGGGGGGAAATGGGGGTCTATAGGGTGTAAATGGGGGTCTATAGGGGGAAATGGGGGTCTATAGGGGGTAATGGGGGTCTATGGGGGGAAATGGGGGTCTATAGGGGGAAATGGGGGTCTATAAGGGAAAATGGGGGGCTATGGGGGGGCAAATGAGGGTCTATAGAGGGGAAATGGGGGTCTATAGGGTGAAATAAGGGTCTATGGGGGGAAACGGGGGGCTATAGACGGAAATGGGGGGCTATGGGGGGGAAATGGGGGTCTATAGGGCTTATATGGGGGTCTATGGGGGTAAATGTGGGTCTATAGGGTTTATATGGGGGTCTATGGGGGTAAATGTGGGTCTATAGGGAGTAAATGGGGGTCTATAGGGGGAAATGGGGGTCTATAGGGGTTAAATGGGGGTCT